TTCTTAAGTTAAGTGACATCTATCCCACCCCACATGCACCTGAACATTGACATCTATCCTAAACACTTGCACCTGAACATTGACATCTATGCCAACCCACTTGCACCTGAACAGTGACATCTATTCCACCCCACATGCACTTGAACATTGACATCTATGCCAACCCACTTGCACCTGAACAGTGACATCTATCCCACCCCACTTGCACCTGAAGTGACATCTATCCCACCCACTTGCACCTGAACAGTGACATCTATCCCACCCCACTTGCACCTTAACAGTGACATCTACATGTATGCCAACCCACTTGCACCTGAAGTGACATCTATCCCACCCCTCATGCACCTGAACAGTGACATCTATCCCACTCATTTGCACCAAACAGTAAAATCTGTCATAACCCAAGAAGTTCAAAAGACTAAGCCATGCCAAAATGTTTCATTCCTTAAGCGAATGCGTTCCAGGACATTAAACTTGAAATCTTCATATTCTAAATATGTACATGGCAAAATTAAGGTACCATTTCATGTAATTCCAATTGGAGAGGTCTCCTCCTTTGATGTATTGACCTTTATTTTCATAATAGATGGTCTGCTCTCCATAGTTGTAGGTGCCCCTGTGGCAAACCAAACCAAATTTATTGCATCCTGGTCATCTGCAAATGATAAATACAATTTAGAAAATCAAATCAAAGAAAGCTTAGAAAGAACTCCTGTATGCTGAGAGTATTAGAGACAGTAAAAATTAATTCAAAAGCTGAAAACTAATTATGCAAATCAGATTTGAGTGTAAAATTAATAAGGTCTGCGCAATGTAACAGACCATCTGTGTACCAAGTTTCATTAAATTATTGTTATGCTAATTAGAGAATTAATATGAACAGATTTTAACCCAAAACTGATCATATTTGTACATTGTCCTAGAGCATCTATGTACAAAGTTTCATTGAAATGTGAGGATTAGTATCTGAGATATCAGTGTGAAAGTTGAAAATTGATTAATTATGCAAATTTGGTAATTAATATGCACACATATTTATCCCAAAACAATCAAACTCTGCATAGTCCTTGAGTATCTATGTACCATGTTTCATCAAAAACCGATGTATGGTTCTTTATATATCAGTGGAACACACACACACACGCGCGCACGCGCACACTCACGTACGCACGCACGCACGCACGCACGCACGCACGCACGCACACACACACACACACACACACACACGCACACACACAA